CCCATGGCCAGCACATTATCCCCTTCCAACACAGCAACCCCCCACATTCATCCCAACACAGACGGGCTCCACCGACTTGGGTCCACCACCCCCAGTGGTCATGCTCCACCCATCCACGACCAGGGTGGACACGCAGGGGCGCCCCCTGCCAGCACCACAACCGTACTATGACCCCGCTACCGACCCGTGGCACGCAGACAACCAGTGATCACGCAGCTGCAGCTTCTGAGGCGCCTGTCATGATTTCACCGAGGATGATTCGTACAACAACTGTTCCTACCCTCACTCCCTCGTTAGTTTTCCTAAGCAGGCCTGGTTTTACCACAGCTTTCCACCAACATGCCCACCATCATCTTCGGACATTGGCCCAGCTTACTCCGCAGACCAACACGCTCAGTTTCACCTCGCACAACGAAAAAACAGCGCGTTTCAGTGGACAGTCACACATTAACCATGATTTTGGATCCTCATGGAAAACCTCTCTTGTTTTTTGCGGCTTTTCTGTGTTCTCGGTTTTGTCGGGGTTTTTTCTCTTTTGAACCCTCCGTTTCCGACAGCATGACTGTTTTAACGCCACCGTTGCTCCCTCATTTGACTTTCCCCGACCTGCTCTCGCATGTTCAGCTTGCTCAAATCAACAACCGGTGCTCCACGCCCACGATCCAGTGATACTTCGCCCAGCCACCACGGACGCGCAGTGGCAGCAATACTACTGGAATCACTATTTGATGCAGCAACATCATCAGCAGCTCACCAACCCAGATACCACAACTTCTCCTCCCACCACCGCACACCACGCCTACAGCCCCACAGGCACCTACGGCCCACTCACTCACGCACTTCGTACACACCACGTCCACCACTCTAACCCGTATGTGACTCCACCGTACACACCGCCATCGCAGCATACACCCCCACCCCAGGCATCCGCCTCACAGCCGGAGTTTCCACGGCCACCAACTACATCGTACAATCCAACCCACCCAGTGGTCTCGAAAAGGAGGTGTGGCAGGACTCCCCACCTTTGAGGTTTTCCCGTGGCAATTGGCTTACCACGGTACCTCCGAGTTCACCGCCCGTACCCTGAGCAACGGCAAATTCACAGGTTTTATTGCCACCAGAAGCATAGCGGAGTCAGTCTTCGTGACCCATTTTCTCCAACAACTCCGTGAAAACCGCCTTGACCTCGACGGCATCGCGGAGGCCCTCCACACCCAACAGAGCACAGACATTCCCAACAAAACCACCCATGCCCGAGCGTTTCACGCTCCCCTCATCAAACTGCTCATTGACCAACTGCAAACCCACTCTCCAGCACCTGCGGAAGGCTCCGCTCTACGCGCCCTCAAAAACACCAACGACGAACTGGCTCGTGCACGTCAGAAACTCCAAGACCTGGGCAACCCACTCACACCAGTCAAAAACACCAGCCGTTCTTCCGCACCAGCCGCCCCATCTCACGCACCCACTCCACCACCACCGAAACCACCAGCCCTCACCGACGTCTTGCAACCACCACACCCCACGCTGCAAGACGATATCCCCGAAGGCTGGAACCACCCAGAGATCCAACAATGGGTCACTACTTTCGACCCCACCATCCAAGAAGCTGCGAAGGACGTCATCCGTCTGCTGCAAACCAGCAAAGTCACCACGCAGCAGCTAAAAGAAGCAGCCACCAAGTATGGCCTACCCCTCAACCGGGTCAACCGACTCCCCATTCGCAGCCTACAGCAGCTGGTGGGAGTTGGAGCAGCCATCGGTTGCTGACTCGCCATTCTGGCCCAGCAGCAACCCAGCCACACCAAACTCACCCAACTCTTCCACCTGCACAGAGCACTTTCTATCCTTATCCACCGCACCCAATACATCGACCGTGCCGAAGCCATCTTTGCAACCGGCCTTCTCCATATCACCCTCCTTTTCGCATACCCTTCCAACACCCGTCGCTCACAACAATGGCGCAACCGCCTCCGCCAGCTCCACATTTTGCCCCACACCTACCACTACCACAACTTCCTCTCCTCCAATTCAGTCTACATCAAGCTCCACTTCAATCCAGACCAGCCCCAACGCTGCTACCATCAGCATGGCCACTTCTATGTTGGCTCCACAGCTATTGGCATCCCTCACCGCGAGCATAATCGCCGCGCCAAACTCAAACAACTCCAAAATAACATTCCCATTTCTGCAGAACTCTCCCTACGTTATTGGCATTCACACAACAACATCCACCACTACACCACTATTCAACTTACCTCCCATGACACATACGACCAAGCCTGGATCCAAGAGCACCATTACATCGCAAACTGGATGCCTCCGCTCAACTGGCCTTTCATTTCCCACCACCTCAAACTAAAAGCTCAGGGATGGCAGTTCGCGAAACACAGAGCCCACTTCTACTCCAGATTGGCCACCCACAAACGACTTTTCCGACGCCTTCGGCAACGCCAGTACACCCTCAGAGAACCACACCTCTACACCTCCACTAAGCATCACGCCCTCCAACTTCTTCGCAACCTTACCAAACACACCGCAGCCTCCTTTGAAGCAGCTAAACAGCTACGAAGCGGCCGCCACACGGACCTCGAAGTCTATGCAATCCGGCGCATGGCCGCAAACCTGGAAGAACCCGGCCGCAGCCGAGCCCTCCACATCCTCAACAAAGCCCTGATCTACCGCAACCTCACGCCACCAAAACCAAACATCCCACTGACAGTGCCCTTCTTGGCCCATGACGACTTTACCAAGCACTGCCAACAGTGGCTTCGTACTACTATCCAGCAGCACAAGCATTTCACCATTCCCCTCCACCTCCCCTCCCACAGACTGCGAGAAGCCGCCCACAAAACCCTCCGCTCTCACCTGCACAACCACCGCACATGGGAAGACACCCTCCACTCCCCACCAGATCCAGCAGACCTTCCCTGTGCATGCGATCACCTGCGCACCCTCTTGCAGGATCCCGATACCCCTACCATCAACGGCCACTACATCCTTACACTTGACCAACTCCAACTCCCTACACACCTCGGCATTTTTCTCAACGCCAACATGAACAGCACCTATTACCCAAGCAAAGCTCGCTACTTCCTCATTTTCAAGACGGCCTACACCAAATGGCTCAAACTACAAGGGCTTCCACCTTCCCTTGTTCAGCATCTACAACCCTTCCTTGAGCACCAATGGCGCCTTCATAACACACACCTCAAGCAGCAACCCCGTTTTACGGCCCGCCTGCTTCGCCAACTGCAAGAACATTTGGGCAAACACACATTGCTCCACCATGCCGATCATGAGCTCCAACAACTTCGGCTGTTTTGCCCTCGACAATAATTCACTGGAGCCTTGAACACCTGGCAATCCCCCGAACTTTTCGAACCACTTCCCTACATCACTGCCGTCAACATCCACGACCACCTGGCCGCCACAGTCCCCTCCATCCTGCGCACCCGCTACAAGTGGGGCTTCCGAAAAGACTTCAACATCCCCTACGGGGTTGTCCACCTCAAAGAGAAGAAGCACTGGCAAAAAGGCCGTACAATCATATCATACTTCCAATCACTAAGTGGCAACCTGCTACGCATCACCAGTCGTGCCCTTGACATTATCCTCCAACACCTCTACCCTCAACATCCAGGCCAAATGTCCATTCCCCAGCTTTGGCACCACTTTCACAGTTACCTCACCCAAACCCCACCAGACATCTCACTACACGCCACCAACGATGACTTGGTCGGCTTTTTCAACTCCGTCCCCCAGCACCGACTCATCGATGCAGTCCACTCCCTCGTCCACCATTGGCAACAACAGCAATCCACACACACCCTAACGGTGGATGTCCAGGCCACAGGCAATCCTTTCCACCACTCACACATTGGCAGACACCATCGGAAACACCCTACTCAACGCACCATCCAGACTTCCGACATCACCACCATCGTGGCTTTCGCCCTCAACACATGCATTTTCCGGGCTTGCAACAACACTTACAAACAAATCCGAGGGGCCGGGATTGGATCCCAGCTCTCTCCAGCCCTATGCAATGTTGCCATCACCCTCATTGAGCATTCCTGGCATCAGATCCACAACAACCTCCTTCAACACACAGACCTCCACTTTACTTACTATCGCTATGTCGACAACCGCTTCATTGTCCACAACGAACATTTCCTTCAACACCCGGCTATCCAGACCCTTATCCACCACAATTTCTTTGGCGACCCTGTGGAACTAGAACCGGTGGAGGATTTTCATCTCCTCGGTTTCAACATCGACCTCCCACAACGCACCATCACCTACATGCAACCTTCTCAACCCTGGAAAATCCGGGATTCCACCACTGCCGGGAGCCAGCGCTTGGCTCTATCAGGCCTCCAATCACGACTTCACACCATTCGAAAATACACATTTCCACCCTCCAGCGCTGACGCTGCTGCGGCCGAACTCGTGAATCTATATGTCCAAAAGGGGCGTAACTATCACGCCTGCCACCGGTTTTTGAAAAAAGCGCCAAAAGCGGCGACCTGTGTGTGTCCAACCCTGGACAAAGGGTCTTCCACCACCACTCTTTCCACTGTACATGGGCAGGGGAGTGGAGCAGGCCTGCAGAGCTCCACTTAACAA